AAAAAAAAAAAAAAAAAAAAAGCAATTTCTGTTCTTTGTAAAATAATTCAGACAATGCAGTAAACAGAAGAAAGTCAGCCTCCCTCTCCCTTTGCTCAATTCCCAGAGTACAGCAAGATCCTTCCAGATCTTCACAGTGGGATCATCTTCCACCAGGTTCTGAGGTTTTTCACTCCCTATCAGTAGACAAACCACACTGCCCAGTTTGCAAGCAGCTCCATTGGATAACACAGAACAGAAGGGCTCTGTCCTGCAACATGTCTCAGCACCGGGTGCATCATCCCACGGGAACGACACCTACACAGACACCCGGCGTACAACTGCAGGGCCCTGAACTATGGGCCAGCCCACCCCCAAATACCCTTCTCTCTACCCTTGCCCATATCTCTTACACATCTTTACCAGTCATACTGGGAAAAAAATAGTACTTTATCATTTTAACATTTCACAAATAACTAAAACAATTAATAAACACGCTAACACTTGGGAATGGTCTATTTCTTTCTTTCTGAAAATGACAGTGTAGGCACTGCCTTTCCCTAACTTATCAAAAACCTTATGTGACTTTCCGTGTCCTCGAGGAGCAATTTCTAGCCCTTTCCACAGCACCCCTTGGGTAAACCTCTTATGAGAGGTGTCCTGCTCTCCAGGATGACTACAATGCATCACTAACACCCCCCGCATCCCTCCACTCCATTGGGAAGGGGAGCAGGCTGGAATACAGTGGCACGATCTCGGCTCACTGCAACCTCCGCCTCCTGGTTCAAGCAATTCTCCTGTTTCAGCCTCCTAAGTAGCTGGAATTACAGGTATGTGCTACCACGCCCAGCTAATTTTGTATTTTTAGTAGAGACAGGGTTTTGTCATGTTGGTTAGGCTGGTCTCCAACTCCTGACCTCAGGTGATCCGCCCTCCTCCGCCTCTCAAAGTGCTGAAATTACAGGAGTGAGCCACCGAGACTGGCCTCTTTCTCAGCTCACTGCAACCTCCACCTCCTGGGTTCAAGCGATTCTCCTGCCTCAGCCTCCCAAGTAGCTGGGATTACAGGCATGTGCCACCACACCCCGCTAGTTTTTGTATTTTTAGTAGAGACGGGGTTTTACTATGTTGGCCAGGCTGGTCTCCAACTCCTAATCTCAGGTGATCCACCCCACCTTGGCCTCCCAAAGTGCTAGGATTACAGGCGTGAGCCACCACACCCGGCCTCTTTTTTGTTTTTTTGAAACAGGGTCTTGCTCTGTCGCCCAGGCTGGAGTGCAGTGGCACAATCTCAGCTCACTGCAACCTCCGCATCCCGTGTTCAAGCGATTCTCCTGCCTCAGCCTCCCAAGTAGCTGTGATTATAGGCACCCACCACCACACCTAGCTAATTTTTGTTTTTTGGTTTCTTTTTTTTTTAGTAGAGACAGGATTTCACCATGTTGATCAGGCTAGTCTCAAACTCCTGGCCTCAAGTGATCCACCTGCCTCGGCCTCCCAAAGTGCTAGGATTACAGGTGTGAGTCACCGCGCCTGGCCTCTATTTCATATATATATATTCATATATATATATACACACACACACACACACACACACACATACACACACACATACACATCTCTGAGATGAGAGTCTGGGCTCTTCCAATAATGTTGCCACTCGCCTGCTCCCCTTCCCAATGGAAGTGGAGGGATGCAGGGGGTGTTAGTGATGCATTGTAATCATCCCAGAGAGCAGGACACCTCTCATAAGAGGTTTACCCAAGAGGGGTTGTGGAAAGGGCTAGAAATTGCTCCTGGAGGACATGGAAAGCCACGTAAGGTTTGTGATAAGTTAGGGAAAGGCAGTGCCTACACTGTCATTTTCAGAAAGAGTGGTATGGCACTAAATCAAGAAGGGCTGAGAGGGTGAGCCCAGGGGATCCCACAGACTCTGCAGCCTCTGGCCATCCTCTCCTGTACAGGTCCTAAGCCCCCTGCAGGGGGCCCTCAGCTCCCCCACCCTACCCACTGTCCTGTATGTTATCTTAATCTTTATTAAAAGCCTCAGTTGAATTTCCCTGGTGAACTGAAAGAACTCTGCTGCTCCTTGGCACATCTGCACCAAGCCACCACTGGGTCACATTCTCCAAAACTCCTTCTGGAGACAGAAGGCACTTAAACCTTCTGTTTTAAGGTTTTGCTTGATAGTTCCTAATTAAAAAAAGACAGAAAGAGGGAGAGAGAGAACTACAATCAAGCCTTGAAGACAAAATGATCAAACAGAATCAGAGCTAGAATGGAACACCTCAGGCTTGGAGTCCCATGACAACCTTGCTGGGGACCATGAGTGGCCCTCAGTCCTTCTCAGGCTCAAGCCACCTATGTGAAATAAGTGTGGTGACACCCACCTCCTTGAGTGCAGAGCAGTGCAGACAATGGGGCAAATGGTGTACTGATCTGCTATTTGTGCACATAAATTTGTTCATTTAAGCCATGGGTATTGCTTGAATATGTGAAAACCACGTTAGGCGCTAGGGATAAGAGACAAATTCCTGCCTAGTGGAAAAGACAGATAAGCCAGTGGTTCCTCACACTGTGCCAAGTGCTGGGATGGGGTCACGAAGGAGACCATAAGAAATCCCTGAGGGGCCACAGAGCTCACTGGGAGGGCCAGAGGCTAACACCTGAGGGATGAGAGATGTGAGCCAGAAGGTGATGCATACACAGCAATAATTACCAGGGAGGGGAGGAATGGGAAGGGAGGGGAGGGGAAAGGAGGGGAGGAGAGAAAGGAGGAAAGAAAACAGAAAAGAGAGAGAAAAGGAAAAAGAAAAGGAAGGTAAGGGAAGGCAAAGCCCAAGAGACAGGATCGCTGAATGAAAAATGAACTCTAAGACCCCCTTCTGTCTCTCATACTTGTTGACTAAGTCATAACCACAAGGAGTGGGGGAGGCTCTGAGGTGAGCAGGAGACCAACTGCTGTCACCGCCAGTACCTTTATTAGCAGAGCCAGGATATCTTTGTTATTCTTCTTAGGAACAGTTCTAGTGAACTCACCTGAAGTAATCACAGGATGCAGCTAGCAGGATGCGATGGGCCTCGATGTGTCTGCCCTCCACCACCAGCACAACATCGAAGAGGATCCCACTGTCCCGGAGAGCCAGTAGCCCTCGGAGCAGAGCCTGGGAGTGCTGTGCGCTGCGGTAGGTGTTGTTCACGCAGTGTGGGTGGGAGGGCTGCGCAGGCAACTTGCAGAGCTGGGTGAACTCCTGCTCCTCTGCCATCCTGACAGCCACAAGATCCCTTACCACTTCAGCCTGTCAGCTGGCAAAACAGAGGGGATGGGGGTAAGCAGGCAAGCATCAGCCCTACCACACACAGACTGGCCAGCTCTGTTGCTCCCCTTGCTCCTGTGCCTCCCTCAGGCTCACCTGTTTTCCCTCTTTTCCCAAATCCATAATTCCTTCTCCCCTCCCACCTCTAGTCCAACTTCCTGATGGCCTTCTTCCTGATGATCTGTGCGCCATCATGCCCAAGACTCTTCATCGCATTTTATCTTCTTCCGCATGAAAGTCAAACAGAAGGGTTTTGGGAAACAGACTGACCTGGGTTGGAGCACCACTTCACGGGGACTTACAACATGACTAACCTGAGCCTCGAGCTCCCCAATTGTAAAAAGAGAGATAAAAGCACCCACCCCATTGGGGTATTCTAAAATTGGTAAAAACAATGAATATGAAACATAAGCACACACCAGGTTCTCAAAAGCTCTTCCTCCCTCCCATTGAATGAACAAAATTGGGTTCTTCCTCAGTAATGGATGCGTAAAAATGGCAAGACCTGAGTTGTGGTCAGGAGACACAGAGCCAGGAATCTGGGAGGTGGGTGCCAAGGGGGTGGCATTTCCAGGGCCTACTTTCTTTTACTGAGATTCTGAGAGTCAAGCACAGTAACTGTGATTGAACCTGATGCATTTAAATTCATCTGCATTGCCTTTTAAATTAAAGGTTACCTTCTAACAATTGAGTCAGTACGCTCAAAAACCGCAAACTGATTTGAATAGGAGCCTCTAAAACCTAACCAGTAAAACAAATCTACTGCAAATGCACTTTTACCATGGACCAACCAAAAGTGGCTGTGGATAGCCAGCTGCTCGGGTCAGGGAGTGGCCAGTCCTACACTGCGAGGCATGGCCAAGCTGCAGGCTCTGTAGGCACAGCACAGTCAGAGCTAAAAGATGTGAACATCTGTCTTCTCCACCTCACTTCATCCTACTTTCCTCTCCCCAAAATATGTTTATTCTCCAATTACCTCCAGTCATGCATCACTTAATGTTGGGGATACATTCTGAGACATGTACCGCTGGAGACAATTTCCTCATTGTGTGAACATCACAGGGTACACCTACACAAACCTAGATGGTAGAGACTACTACATATCTAGGCCATAAGGTACAGCCAATTGCTCCTAGGCTACATACTTGTACAGCATATTTTTCCTCTCCTCTCATACCACAACAAACCCAGGAGACTTCTGTGACCAAATGCATGAGGGTTTTCCCCATTAACAAGCAAGCAATCAATTCTGCCACAGATACCATCTGGGTGTCCTCTAATTCAGCAGTCCCCAATCTTTTTGGCACTAGGGACCAGTTTGGTGGAAGACAATTTTTCCACGGGGTCAGGGAATGGTTTCAAGATGAAACTGTTCCACCTCAGATTATCAGGCATTAGTTAGATTCTCATATGGAGCCCACATGCCTGGCCCCATGCATCTCTTCATCTGGATCCCTCACATGCACGGTTCACAATAGGGTTTGTGCTCCCATGAGAATCTGATGCTACCTCTGATCTGACAGGAGATGGAGCTCAGGTGGTAATGCTGGATCCCCCTCCACTCACCTCCTGCCGTGCCACCTGGTTCCTAACCAGCTACAGACTGACACAGGTCTGAGGCCTGAGGTTGCGGACCCGTGTTCTAATTCTAATTCAACTCTAACACTATCTACCTGAAGACAGTGTCTGATTCCACAGGTTGAGGGCTCAGTCTCCCAGGTTGTTTCACCTGTGCTTCTGACCAATAAGCTACAAATTGGGGTTCCCAAGATCCCCTTCTTGGGTTTAATTAATTTGTTACAGCGACTCACAGAACTCAGGAAAATACTCACGTCTACTGGTTTGTTATAAAGGGTTATTGCAAAGGATACAGATGAAGAGATGCATGGAGCCAGGCATGTGGGAAGTGGTGCAGAGCCTCCAGACCCTCTCCAGGAACATCACCCTTTAGGAGCCTCCATGTATTCAACTATCCCAAAGTTTTCCAAACCCAGTCATTTTGAATTTTTATGGAAGCTTCATTATGTTGGCATGACTGATTAAATCACTGGCCATTGGTGATGAACTTAATCTTCAGCCTGTCTCCCCTCTCTGGGGGTTGAGAGGTGAGGCTTAAAGTCCCAACCCTCTTATCCTGCCTTGGCCTTTCCTATGACCAGCCTCCATCCTGAAGCTACCTAGGGGATGCTGGCCAGCATACAAAAAGGCATCACTCTGGAGAGTCCAAAGATTTTATAAGTTGTATGCCAAGAAATGAGACAAGACCAAATATATATTTCACAATATCACAGTACTGAATACCATAGGCAACTGTAACACAATGGTGAGTATTTGTGTATCTAAACATAGACAAGGTACAGTAAAAATATGGGACCACCATCCTTCATGTGGTCTGGTCTGTCATTGACTGAAACGTCACTGTGTGGCACATGATTATATATCTTTAAAAGAAAAAATGAAAAATAGATGCTAATATAAAACTTGCCAAAAAGAAGAGGTCTCCCTCTTCACTACTGAGGCTCAGGGTCACCCCCCCACCCCACCCCTTGGATGCTCTACTGCTTCCCATCAAACATACTCAGTTATCTATACCTGCCCCTCAGTCTGCCTCCAGGACCTGGGACCTCTACCCAGCCACCCACCCATTCCTTTCCCCCTCCCTGGGCTGACTCATCTTTCTCACCAAGGCCCCAGAGATGGCCAGAGCCAAGGTGTATCCCCCATGACCACCTCTCACTTAGGATTCTCTTGCCTGGAAACTCTGCCCTATGATAATTCTCCCTTTTCTGACCTCTCTCTTTCATCCCACACACCCTGCTCGATCCCGCCCTTCTTTCCCAAGGGTTCACATTCCCAGTTTCACCTACAGCTCAGTGCTTATTCTAGCTAGCAGCCCTCCAACTTGTCTAATTTTCTTATTGGTATAGCTACCATTTCCATGTTGAAAACCTCACTGTCTTAATGATATTTTTCCTTTCTAACTCGTGTGCCCTATGAACCCACTAGTTCTGATTCCTTCACCTCTCCTCCGTCTCAGTCAGCCACCCTCTACTCCTCCAGGGCCACTACTCTGGGTCAGACCACAGCAATGATGCCCCAACCAGTTTCCCTACCTCTTGCCTCATCCTCCCCAGGCTGCTCTCCTTCAAGCCTTACCTACTCAGCCCCATTAGTAGTCCTTAGTCCAAAAGGGATACCTGTTATCCTCTGAACACCTTTAGTCACCCATCTAGGCCATTCTGTCTCTCATAGTCCCATATTGGTCAAGGTCTAGCTCTATTACTTCTCCCTCTATCGTTGTACAAAGAACCTGACAAATATGCCCCACCACTCAAACCTGCCTTTTTTTTTTTAGACGGAGTCTTGCTCTGTCATCCAGGCTAGAGTGCAGTGGTGTGATCTCGGCTCACTGCAACCTCTGCCTCTCAGGTTCAAGTGATTCTCCTGCCTCAGCCTCCCTAGTAGCTGGGATTACAGGCATGCGCCACCACACCCAGCTAATTTTTAGCAGAGCGGTTTCACCATGTTGGTCAGGCTGGTCTCACATTCCTGACCTCAGGTGATCCGTCTGCTTTTGGCCTCCCAAAGGGCTGGGATTACAGGTGTGAGCCACCACGCCCAGCCCAAACCTGCCTATTTACCCACCACAAGGAGATTCCGGCTTCTTAAGGGGTGAGGCTTTATCTCACAAACATCTCAAAAGCCCCCATGGCTGGCTGCACCACTTGCTAATGATAGACTCTGGGCACTTGTCTCATATATCCACACCTCAGCTTCCTCATCACCACCATGACCACTACAGAGTCAAGAGGGCCTCCTTCTCTGAGGGTGACCTCCACAACTGACTACCTCAACAGACATCAAGCCCCTAGGTGGATCCCCACCTTCTATGAGCACAGCAGCGCCTCTGCTGTCTTGGGAAGGGATAAACGGCAGCTACTCCCTAAACACCTACTGCAAGAACAAGTACGGTAAAATAGAAAGACATCTTCCATGGGCAGGCAAAGTACATTTACCAAGTACAATTTAAGAAACGTAGCTAGGGGCTAAGGGGGATGTGCCGAAAAATGAATCAATTCTCTGCTGCAAAGGAGCACAGCACAGAGTGCAACATTTAAAACCACCAAAACGTCTACCCTCAGGAGAACAGATGTCATGGCACAGTGATTTGACAGAACCTTAGGCAACAGTCAAAATATGCAAAGTGGCCAGGCGCGGTGGCTCACGCCTGTAATCCCAGCACTTTGGGAGGCTGAGGCGGGCGGATCACGAGGTCAGGAGTTCAAGACCAGCCTGGTTAACAT